CAAAAAAAAAAAAAAAAAAAAAGACCACCACAGATTTTAAACCAATGATCATTTTGTCATGGAAGAAAAGCTTTTTGCCAGTCAGCTGTGGATGAGACCGCAATCACACCTGAAACTTCTCCTTGCAGGTTCCCACATTGACATCAGTCCCCCAGATCACCAGTCTCTGTCCTGCACCCTGCTCGCTGCCGGCCACTGCGTCTCCAGACGGCTGAAAGTCAAAATATTGTATTCATTTTTATTATTAATAAGTTATTTATTCAACGTAATAATTATTAATTAAATTCTACCATATTTTTTAAAGGGGTCATTTGATGCGATTTAAATGTGGGAAGATTTGCATAACGCCGCCCAAATGTTCACGCAAAGAAAGAAGGCGTAACTTTTATTCTCGCTGTTGTATTGCTGCCGCCGCCGCCATGTCGTGAAGGCGCTGTGTGTTTCGTTGTGAAAGCGAAACTACTTTGTTTGGTCTTCCAAAAGAGGACGATATCTGCTTCGTCATGCCTGGAGCTGATCTGTGCTGGTCGTCACATGTGGTTTCCGCAAGCCTCCTTTGTCGAATCCGCTGGCCCGCCGTACTCAAGCCCGCCGCCTCCGCTCACTCTAGCCGTTCCTCACTCTAGCCGCCGGCCTCTGCTCACTGTAGACCACCGTGTGTGACGCCGTGTTTCGTTGTGAAAGCGAAACTACTTTGTTTGGTCTTTCCAAAGAGGACGATATCTGCTTCGTCATGCCTGGAGCTGATCTGTGCTGGTCGTCACATGTGGTTTCCGCAAGCCTCCTTTGTCGAATCCGCTGGCCGCGCCGTACTCAAGCCCGCCGCCTCCGCTCACTCTAGCCGTTCCTCACTCTAGCCGCCGGCCTCTGCTCACTGTAGACCACCGTGTGTGACGCCGTGTTTCGTTGTGTAAGCGAAACTACTTTGTTTGGCCTTCCAAAAATGGTCACGACTAGAAATCAGTGGTTAAGTTGTATTTACAACACTGTTCCAGAACACTTCAACCCAAATATTCAGATGTGTGCAGCACATTTTATGGAGGACTGTTTCCTGATCCTGGTAGAGTAGACTACAATGCCGGCTGTTCTGACTCACAGATTGTAAACGTTTTTTATATTTATACATTTATATATAATATTTTTTGAGCAGTGTAGAGTAGGGCTTGTTTGTCATTTCTCCGATCACAAATGCAGACATGGTTTTATGTTTACGCGGCGCGACGCAAAAAAAGACAGTATAAGTCATTATAATGCTTAATTATGTCCCCACTGGATGTAACGAATGCCTCGTTTATAATGTCTTTTCATGTTTTTGAATCATCGCTCCAGCCTGACAGGGCATCATCACAGTATGGTGAGGGGCGTAACATTTCCGTCACACGCTTGAGGTATTCGGCCAATCACAATGCACTGGATAGCTGGCCAATCACAGCACACCTCGCTTTTCAGACCGATGAGCTTTGTAAAAATCGACACGTTTCAGAAAGGCGGGGCATAGAGGAGAAACAATAATGTACAGTATGTGGAAAATAATGTGTTTTTTGAACCTTAAAACGCATAAACATTTCATTACACCAAATACTGTTCTTTTTAGCAACATCATATGACCCCTTTAATAGATTGAATTAGCTTAAATCTTTAAATTTTCAGTTTTCATTTAAATATTTAAAATTTTAGTAATTATGCGTTTTATTGGTTTTTGTTTTTTCAAACATTACTATTTAGGTATAATTTATTTCCGTTATAGTTTGCTTTCAATTTATATGAAATTGCTTTTATATTTCCAGCTTTCATTTAATTTTATGTTTTTGTAGATTTTAAATATGACCATTTAGGTTTCATTTAAGTTTTAGTATATTTTTATTTACAGCTAATACATTTTGTGCTTCAACTTATTTCAGTTAGTTGCTAAGGCAACATTTCAGATTTTCCTTTAGTTTTTTTTTTTAGGTAATATTTATATTTTTAGATTTACTTAGATTAAAGTTACTTCAATTAAATTTGGATTTCCATATTTTCTGACCTGAATTATGACCCAGTACAATAGTGTAATTACATATTACTTCATTGATTTGTTTAATAATTTAAATGATTTTGAATTTTGATAATGAATGAATATTATATTACATTATAATTTTGCCCTTAGCTGATCTCATGCCTGATGCTCATGAACAAGCCACAAAAAAAAGTCCATACTCACAACAGAGTAAAATATTAACAATTAGAAGTATCTGATCATGAGGTGTTAAATGTAGTGCTGTCAAACGATTAATCGCATCCAAAATAAGTCTGTGTATATATAAATACACACCCATGAATGTATACATTTAAGAAAAATTTAATATATATATAAAAATTTGGACTGGTGTCTTTTATACTGATAACGAGTTCAAACAGATACCATTAATACAGGTAACGTGTGGAGGACAGAGGAGCCTCTTAAAGAAGAAGTTACAGGTCTGTGAGAGCCAGAAATCTTGCTTGTTTGTAGGTGACCAAATACTTATTTTACCGAGGAATTTACCAATTAATTCTTTAAAAATCCTACAATGTGATTTTCTGGATTTTTTTTCTCATTTTGTCTCTCATAGTTGAGGTATACCTATGATGAAAATTACAGGCCTCTCTCATCTTTTTAAGTGGGAGAACTTGCACAATTGGTGGCTGACTAAATACTTTTTTGCCCCACTGTATGTACACATACTAGTGCTGTCAAATGATTAATCGCGATTAATCGCATCCAAAATAAAAGTTTTTGTTTACATAATATATGTGTGCACTGTGTACATTTATTATGTATATATAAATACATATAGTAATATACATAAATACAAAAGCAGAAACATGACACTGATGCACAAAAGCATGACTGAAGTATATATACACACCCATGCATGTACTGTATATATTTAAGAAAAATATGTTACATTTTTATATTAAATATATTTATTCCAACCGTGTTGGCATAAATATAAATTATATGAATATAAATATTTACATGTAAATATTTTCAAAATATATACTGTATGTGTGTGTATTTATATATACATAAATATACACAGTACACACAGATATATTATGTAAATACAGCACTACGTAAATGTAATAAATCACTTTTATTACCAGTAAGCCAAAATGCAAAAATTAAACATGTGTTTTTATGTATCTGTATTTAGTAGTGCTGACAAACCATTAATCGCGATTAATCGCATCCAAAATAAAAGTTTTTGTTTACATAATATATGCGTGTGTACTGTGTATATTTATGTATAAATACAAACACATGCATGTATATATTTAAGAAAAATATGTATTATTTATATATAATATAAACATAAATATTTTCTATATATATATATATATATACTGTATGTGTGTGTATTTATATATACACAGTACACACAGATATATTATGTAAATACAGCACTACGTAAATGTAATAAATCACTTTTATTACCAGTAAGCCAAAATGCAAAAATTAAACTCTGTTTTTTTCAAAATGAAACCGTAACTTTCACTCACTGGTTCCGAATGCATGTCGACCTGTGGAGCTTTCCGGACAGATCCCAGGTCGGCCCGCTGACGCGCCGGGGTCCCACGTATGCCGCTGCGGGGCGTTCCTTCTACCCTGGAGCTGGGAGTGCCGTACATCAGCGGAGAACTCGCATCAATCTCACTCTGCAGGACTGGATAAAACACATCTTGATGTTTTCCTAATTCAAATTAGCTGCATAAACTATTCGATTCAGTGCAAGTAAGGTGTTGAATACGAGCCGCACCAGAGCGCGGGGCCACAGGGCTGGAGAACAGCGACACGTCCATGGCTGGAGACGTGGGCATGGGCTGAAGCTCTGTGGACGTGTCATGAGCCCTCGACCGCTGTGATGGAGGGGAGAGAGGGTCCTCGCTAGCAGCTGCAAACACACACAGACACCGTTCACATGCAGCAACTGTCAAAAACAAACCTGTCTGGAACTGATCAGAATTTTTTCGCCAGCATATGTGTGCATGCAAAGTCAATGTAACTCACGGGTCGGGGGGTCTCTCTTACGGCTCTGGGATGATGGTGAAGACATCTTGACTCAAAACTGAAATGTTAAATCTCAAAATTAATGAACTGGAACCAAAATTCATTAAAACGATTTCTAAATCATGTTACAAAACAATAAATATTATTTACTACATTAATAAATTATATTAAGTTTATAATTATATAATATTAAATATACAATTATTTAATTTTTAATGTGCACTAACATCGAATTCAAAGAGTTGCAGGTTCGTTTCATACACAAACAATTTCAGCATATATGAAACTTAATACCTCATTTATCATGTTAATGACTTACGACTTAAGTTGATATAAACTATCATAATCATAAATGTTATGCAAATATTATATTATGACATTAGGCCTAATGATTTATCCAGAATGAAAGACATCATCTTCATCATAACACTGCACCACAAAACACTTATTAGTAAACATATCTAGCTAAACACAACATAAAAAAAATTAAGTTTAGTTAGGCTAAATAAGTTGAATGCTTGTATGAGATGCTCAGGGAAGACAATAACTGTCTGTCCAAATACCTAAACTTCTTAATCTTTCAACTAAATCGGTAAATCTACGTAGCACATCTATTTTGTAAGCACATCTGAAAAAAAAAGAAAAAAAAAGAAATTGAGTTTATTATGAAGGTTTCAAAGATGTACAGTGACTTTGAGTTGCTACATTTCTACTGGAAGAGTGAGAGGCTAGCAGCACGCTGCATCAGCCACAACAATGACACAACATAGTCTTAACTACAACACAGAATAACTATTATTTTCAACTACAACGCACTATGTTAAGGTCCAGTTGACCAAGATCTGTTTATAGGTTATCGTGATTACATTTCCTTTCAAACACAACGAGTTTATACAGAGATATAACACTTACCGTTCGCACGGGTTCCCTTCTGAACGGTGGCGCGAAACTGTCTTGTGACGTCAATTTCGCGGGGAAATTTGGACCAACCAACAATACGCTCCTCACTATCAGTCGAGAGGGGGAGAAGTTAGACACGCGTGTGCTTAAATCACATATAACTCGTTATTTCTTAGATTACGCAATTAAATTGCAGTTACGTATGCTTAAAATTACAATAAACTCTTTTCCAAACGTTCTTAACGGCAGACTGACAATTCTAGGATGAGTGACATAAACGAATCTCATCAACTGTTTGGTATCGCCCGAAGATTTCGCGGGAAAGAACATCAAGGCAGAATAAATAGAGTCGATTCCTCTGATATCCACTAGATGTCCATGTGGACAAGATGAAGTGCCACAATATGAATGCATATAGAAAAACAACTGTGCCATCCTCAAAAGAATTATGAATGACATTTTGGCCCCATTAATGAAGATTATTTATTAATGCATGCATAAGGCAGGAAAATAAAACTAATTGTAATTTGTATTACTTCTATAACGGCAAAATTATTTAAAACTTAAAAAAATGAAATAATGTAACATTAACAACAAATAACTTTCTTGCTTTAATTCGACTCTCGTTTCAATTTATATTCTGCTTGTACTGAATTTGTACGTTCAATGTGCTTCCCAAAGACATGGATGTGAATAGATAAATGAATAAATGGCTAAACACCCAGTTAATAATAATAATGAAAATAATATTAATAATAATGAACCAACTATATTTGTATTCGTATTACATTAATTTTCTCTCGATGATCCTTCTTTCTACTCATCCAAACATGCCTTCATATCCAACAAAATTACTTAGGCTAATAATAACTACCACCACCACAAATATGAATGACAAACTACAACAACAATATTAAATACGAACAAAACAAAAATTACTTTTAATTTGTTTATTCAAATGTATTTATTTATTTATTTAAGAAGGTTGAAAATGGCGCATTCATTTCATTTTCTCTCACTGATCCTTCTTTCTACACATACATACTCATAATAATAATATTAATAATAATAATAGTCGTGGCCAAAAGTTTTGGCAGTGACATAAATGTTGTGTTTCGCAAAGTTTGCTGCTTAAGCTGTTGTGGTGTTCATTCACATTGCTTCTAGATTATTGTGTAGAGTGATCAGATGCATTTGAAATCATTGCTAAAAGCTTCATTGGCCAAAAAAATGAACTTTTCACAAAAATTTTTTTTTTTTTTTTTTTTAATTTCACTGTTTTTTGATCCTGACACAAAATGACCAGCTAACATTAATTGATTAATCATATCAGCACCACATGTGAAAGTGCACTCTAAAAAATGCTGGGTTAAATACAACCCAGTGCTGGGTAAAATAGGGACAAACCCAGCAATTGGGTTGTTTTGACCCAACGGTTGGGTTACTAACCAGAAGGTTGGGTTAAACATTTAACCAAACCGCTGGGTCAAAACAGCCCAATTGCTGGGTTTGTCCCTATTTTACCCAGCACTGGGTTGTATTTAACCCAGCATTTCTTAGAGTGTGTGAATGAGTACTAGTCAGGTGAAATCACTATCATACTAATTAGATTGTAAGAGCAGACTGATTGCTATAAAAGGAGGGAAGAAGCGCTTCCAATCATTGTGTTCTTGTTAGCAATGGTTACCTCCAAAGTAACACGTGCAGCCATCATCGTGTTGCATCAAAATGGCCTCACATGCAAGGAAATTGCTACAAAGGATATTGCACCTGAAAGAACCATTTACCGGCTCATCAAGAACTTCAAGGAGAGCGGTTCGACTGAAGAAGTCTTCAGGACGTCCCAGAGTGTCCAGCAAGCGGCAGGACCGTCTCCTCCTGAGGAGGCAGCTACAGAACCGTGTCACCAGCAGTGCAGAGCTTGCTCAGGAATGGCAGCAGGTTAGTGTGAGAGCATCTGCACGCACAGTGAGGCCAAGACTTTCAGACATGGCCTGGTGTCAGGAAGGGCGGCAAAGAAGCCATGTCTCTCCAAAAAAAAACCGAGTGATAAAGAAGTGGCTCGAAGATCATTACATTGAAATTTTGGAACCGTGGCCAGGCAACTCCCCACATCTCAATCCCATAGAGAACCTGTGGTCAGTCCTCAAAAGGCGCGTGGACAAGCAGAAGCCCAAAAATTGGGATCAACTCCGAGAACTAATAAGGCAAGAATGGATCACCATCAGTCAGGATTTGGCCCAGAACCTAATATCCAGCATGCCAGAGCGACTTGCAGAGGTTATGAAGAACAAGGGTCAACACTGTAAATATTGACTCGTATTATTATTTTTATTGATATATATATATATATATTTTTTTTTTTTGCCAATAAAAGCCTTTAAAACGTATGATATGCTTATCATTGTCTTTCAGTATGCCATAGAAATGTGGAAAAATAATCTACAAATACTGAAGCAGCAAACTTTGCAAAACACAAAATTTGTCACTGCCAAAATTTTTGGCCATGACTGTAATAATAATAATAATAATTTTTAATATTGATGATAATCAAAACATTAATAATACATAATTGTTACTTTATTATAAATGTGAACGAAAATCCATAATTATAATAGCCTAATAACATTAATAATAAACCCGAACAAACCCCCCCCCAAAAATTCTCAATTTAAATTAATTTTATTTTTTAATAATTTTTTTGTAAATTGATGTATGTGTATATATGCTGGCAGGGGCGCATTAAAATTAATTTTCTCTCACTGCTATGTTCTTCCACACATGCATACGCATTCAAACACGTCCTCATGTCCTACAGCATGAAGTTCTGACAGGCTGTTCTTAAAAGTTGCTGGTAGGCGTTCGTACACACCCGAGTCTCCTCAAATAGGAGCACAGGCGGAACATGTGACTGACGCTGGACATTCACTGGCTTCTGGAAGGGGGCGGTGATGCCGTGACGCAAGCCGAGCGCTCGTACTTAAAGCGCGCGGACAGCAGAGTTTAGATAGAGAGCTACGAGGACTTTAACACCTGCTGCTCAAGACAGCCAGACTTTTGGAGATACGCGCTAGTTGCGCGAGACAGGGTGTGATTGCGCGTGAAAAAATACGCCTTTTGAGGATTGCCAAGGGGACGAGGAAGGTATCTGCTGATTGAGTTTGAGTTTCGCAGCGTCCATGTCTGACATATACAACCTGGACTCGCAGTGCGTAACGCCACCATGCAACATGAGCTGGGCCATGGAGCCTGCCAACTTCTATGACAATAAAGTCATGCCAGGGGATGTCAAATCCGGGGGAGAGCATGGCACGTCCGAGGACAACAACAACAACAGCAGCAGCATGATGGAGCTCAGCAACGCGCCTGCCATCTACGATGATGAGAGCGCCATCGACTTCAGCGCCTACATCGAGTCCATGTCCACGGTTCCTCTGGAGATCTGCAACGACGAGCTCTTTGCAGACTTGTTCAACAACACCGTGAAGCAAGAAAAGCCCGGCTTTTACCTGCCGAGCGCTTTTGCGCAAAAGAGCGCGGAGAGGCTGCAGCGCCAGGATGGGGGCTTTGGCAAGGGCGCGTTTTGCGCACCGATCAAGAAGGAGGCGGACTGGAGCGACAGCGAACTGTCCTCGTCCTTACCATCTCAGATCGAGACGTGCGCGCAGACGAACGTGAGCCTCATGCACACGGGTCAACCGACACCTCCCACCACACCAGAGCCAGAACCCGTCACCCAGAGGAGGCTGGGAAAGGAAAGGGGCAAGAAGTCAGTCGACAGGCACAGTCAGGAGTATCGGCAGCGGCGCGAAAGAAACAACATCGCCGTGCGTAAAAGCAGGGACAAGGCGAAGCACCGCAACCTGGAGATGCAGCAGAAGATGCTCGAGATGAGCGCCGACAACGAGCGCCTGCACAAAACCATCGATCGGCTGACGCGAGAACTCAGCAGCCTCAGAAACTTCTTCAAACACATGCCAGACACTTCGTTTGGGACTGCGGCGCGCGCGGCTGTTGACAGTCGGTGACGAACGTCGGGGAAAGAGAGAGCGCCCCAAAAACCTTGCCAAAAACATACCTCAGTGAACTTGAATTACTATGTTCCTCTGTAGCAGACTTGCATTAAGTTACACATTGGATGATGGACTTTGGCACCGCATGGTGTCGTCGTGATTATTTTTGTGAATGTTTTTGTATTCTAAATTATTACAGAAAAAACTTCATATATGTTTTTATGGTACCCGTTTTATAATTGCCAAAAACTTCCTATTAATGCCAGAGCATGTTTGAAATTGTACAGTGTGTACAAATGTATAATAAAACGAAGTGAAATTTCCAAAAAGATCCATGTGAACTCGCATGTGTGCACGGGGGCGGGTCTGAGGGGGCGTGGTCTGTTGAAAGGTGTAGCTGTCAATCAGCTCGACGGGATCATGATTCGTGAGTAGATTTTGAAATGTAATACTTAAAGTCACGTGGGTTGTAAGGAACAGCGATTTCGGATTTAAGAATAAAATAAGGTTTGTGGTAAACACTAGAGAGACACATTTCCAAATTCCAGATTAATTTGCCAGACCTCGAGATAAATTCTGAAGCTGCTGGTTATGCTTTTAAATAGAAGTTGGTAAATAAGGGCTACAACTACTACACAGGTACTTGACGGATTGATGCAACTTTTTAGAAAGAAAAAAGAAAAACAACAACAATGGTATTCACAGGTGAATACAAAAGGAGTAGCATTTGATCCTAGTTTACAGTTAGACCCATTCATAGAATTAATTCAATGGCATAAATAATTAATAATAATCATTAAACATAATATAAATATTCATAGAACATATTAGGTTTTATTGTGTGCTTATTGTCAAATTAGGAATAAAACCAATTGAAGGAATAATATTGGTTTATCTGTCATGAAAATGACTTGATCAGTTATCTGGTGGCATAAAACGTTTATTTATAGTGGATGCAGGTGTTCAGCTGTCATAGAGAGCAATAAATCAATTACTGTACAATTAACTTAAACACCACCATAATATAGATGCCATCATTTGATTGACAACACAAAAATATTTTATCAGCTGATACTGGACATCACATGAGCATCTTTCATACTAATATTATTAGTTCTGGTTTTCTTAACAGTTTCAAAATACTACAGGCTCCAGAATGATCATTGATAAAGTTATTCTAGCACTCTACACTTTTTGGGCTTATTTACATACATTTGGAAATAAGGCAAGACTAGTGTTGACTAATAATTCTTTTTAAACCATGAAATGAACAGATAAGTGTGCTAGTAATCAGTGCAGGTCACACTCCTCCAAACCCATCCAAACAGTGTGACTTCTGTTGACGACGTGGACGAAGACGCTGAGAGGACCGATCTCCGACCCAAGAACATTTTCCACACTGTAACCCTGTCAAACAAACAATTAACTGTGAATTAAAAACAGAAATGGTTCTAAATGACTGACACTTTCACACTGCTAGTCCAGAATCTTACCTCAGTACAGCTTGTTGAGTTTAAAAGAGATGTAATGGTCTTTTGCTGCAACTGAAACACATGAATGCATTAACATCATAATCGGATTCATGCGATGAGGCAGGAATATGAAAAAAACATAAATATTTTCTGTTAACTCAGACAACCCTGGAAATCATTTAGACTCTGAAGGCCTCAGGAAATCAACCCTCTGACCTCGTCTAATCAAGCATCTTGAGACATTTACGCTGGACAGCATTAGACAAAATAATGTTACAGGCTTCTTTTGCATAGTGAAAACTAAATGCATTATAAAAATGGCTTAGTATTAAGTAAATTCTTGTTAATATAAACTTAAGACTGTGAGATTTTGAGCTTAAGAAACCAGTCAAAATAACAAAACTCACAGAAACTCACAAGGCAAGACCAGTGTTGATTAATGATTCTTATTTAATTTATTTACATTTAAGACCAGAACATATAAACTTTCCCTTTCATGCCTCATCATTTACTGAGTGGTCCAAACTTGTCACAAACTTCATTCCGGTTCTGTGGGTGAAACTCATTTCTGATAACGTATGAGAGATATCTTGTTAAATCTGTTCCATAATATGTGACCCTCCGCTTTCGCTGAAATTTCCAGGAAATAAAACAGAAAGAAGATAAACACTAGATGAAAAACTTTTGCATTTCTGCACGAGTGATAAAATCATGCTAGCTTCACTTTCTCAAGTGTTTATGATCATCATTTTAATGTCATGTGAGATGTAGACACAGATGTCTTAGAGTTTGTTTTCAAGAGAGCAGAATGAAAAGAATCGAAACACGAAACCTGTCGTGAAGTGGTCTACGTCATATATCAGCTCAAAATATATATTTACATGAATAAAACTTACTAATATGATTTTATGACATTAAATATGACGTGATCATGCGAAAAAATACCATTCACATTATCATTATGTGCAAAAAAAATTACTTCATGTTATTTAAAAACAAAACAAAACAAAAAACCTGGATTTGATTTTTCGGTAACACGTATAGGGACCAATTCGGTAACACTTTACTTGAAGGGGTGTGCATAAGACTGACATGACACCTTCATAATCATGACATGACACATGTCATGAATATGAATGAGGTTTTATGCATGTTTATGACAACTGTCATTAAGTGTCATTCGCTCAGTTATGTCATTTTTAATGCAAATATGACATTATTTGGCCTAACCCTACCCTAACCCTACCCCTACCCTTACCCCTAACCATAGCCCATAACAAAGACATCTCAAACAATGTCATCTTTGCATTAAAAATTACATAACTGAGCGAATGACACTTAATGACAGTTGTCATAAATATGCATAAAAACCTTCACATTCATGACCTGTATCATGTCATGATTATGTAGATGTCATGTCATGATTATGAAGGTGTTATGTCAGTCTTATGCACACCCCTTCAAGTAAAGTGTAACCACCAATTCTCACTATTAACTAGTTGCTTATTAGCATGCCTATTATTAACATATTGGCTGTTTATTAGTGCTTATAAAGCACATATTTTGCATGACCATATTCTACATACATACCTAATCCTAATTTAACAACTACCTTACTAAATATTAATAAGTAGTAATTAGGAGTTTATCGAGGCAAAAGTCATAGTTAATGGTTTGTTAATGAGGAGAATTGGACCTCAAAATAAAGCGTGTGACCGATTTTTCTATAACAGTAATACAAATCTGATATTTAAATGAATGCAAATTATTTTAACTGTAAAGAATTTATATATCATAAAAATGTCTGCTGTACTTTGTCTTATTTATTATATTAGGTCTGCTGTTATTTATGCTTTGAAAACAAAATAGACATGATTTTTCTTTAACAGAAGTCAAAAGCTGATATCATTTAAATGAATGCAAATTATTGTATAAAGTATGTATATATCATACTAGTATTTGCTGTACTCTTTAATTTATGCTTTTTTTTTTTTTTAAACCTGGACCTGATTTTTCTGTAACAGTAATGAAAATCTGATATCATTTAAATTAAATTAACGTAAATTATTTAAACTGTAAAGTATTTATATAGCATAAAAATGTCTGCTGTATTGAATTTAATTTATTCTATTTAAAAAAAAATAATAAAAAAAACCTGGACCTGGATTTTTCTGTAACAAAAATTAAAATCCGATAGCATTTATATGTCATAAAACTGTCTGCTGTATTGCATTTATTCTACTAAAAAAATAAACCAGATTTTTCTGTAATAGCAGAAAAATTGGACATGATTTTATTTTGAAATAATGAAAATTTAACATTATTTAAATTAATGCAAATTATTATCTGCTTCACTTCATTTTGTTTTTTTATTACATATCCAGTGGGTACGGAAAGTATTCAGACCCCCTTACATTTTTCACTCTTTGTTATATTGCAGCCATTTGCTAAAATCATTTAAGTTAATTTTTTTTCCTCATTAATGTACACACAGCACCCCATATTGACAGAAAAACACAGAATTGTTGACATTTTTGCAGATTTATTAAAAAAGAAAAACTGAAATATCACATGGTCCTAAATATTCAGACCCTTTGCT